ACATTTTATAATCAACACTAATGTGTTTTGTATAATTAATTTAGGAGAAGTTTTGTTGTGTCGTTGATTTTTTCATAATGTTATTTGTCCATCATTTTTATTAATAAAGGATCTAAATCAAGCAAAGTTAGTTTATGGTTATAGATATAAATATTATCGTGGAGATATCAATGATCTTGTTTCTATTTTTTATAATTAGTAAAATTAGAAATAATAAAATTACAGATTGTATTACTTTTTATAAAAAAGTTGAAATTCAAAGGAGATCAATCTTGTGAATTTAAATAGATATAGTTCTTATCGAAAAAGCATGCATTCCTTATACATACATAGAAGTTATGATCTAAATATTATATGCACTAAGCAATCAAATATTTTATATTCTAACATTTCATCATCAGAATGGAGAGAATCTTAGTCATCAATAACATTTGTGCATAAATATTGGATGGCCTGAAAACATACATGTTCCACCATAATAATTGAGTTGGATATAAGATAAATAACAAGCAAGTTCATTCATGACATTTTTCATTAATATATTAAAGTACACTTATGCTCTCTATTCTTTCTTGATAATAACGTGCATATCCTTTTGTGTTCATCAATTTTTAAGTAGAATCAGCCTTTAAAGTTTAATCCAACATTGACATTAAAGAAATAATATATCTATAATTTCTATAGAGAAAACTTCATTGTACTTTTCCCTACACACAGAAACGAGATGCTTTTATATCATATTTTAAATTGCCATTACATTCACATTGTGTTTACCACAAATTAGAAAATTATCTTGAAATTATGATGTCATTATAAAGAATCTCAATACTGTAATATTATGAGAGTAGGATACTAAGAATGTCTATCTTTAATAATATGCTTTTATCGGAAGATTAACCAAATCACAAAGGTTCAACCAACCTTAAATTAAGCATATTAGAGGGTTCAAAGTTCAAACTTGTAAGATTAGATATCTTTACATGTATTTGAGCCATTAATCTCACAATTAAATTGTGTAAGAATATTTTATAAGATTTAAAATAAAAGATATTGCTATATAAGCCTAACTTATGTAGGTGTATACAGCGTATAGTATCCGACTTTCCCCTTTTCACATAGAACCCTATTAAAGGATTCAAAAGAATTTGATACAAGAAATAATATATTCATGATTACAAACAAGAGTGACTTTTAACAATGATTAACACGACAAAACAATGAGGATAAAAGGTGAGATATTGTGAATTGTACTTATCAACTTCAAGCTTAGAGATTTACACCAACTCTTTTTGGAGATTTTAAATATGGCAATAATAAAAGTTGTAATATTAAAATTTTGATAGTTTTTGAAACAATATTAGCCACATTTTGTTCCAAGTAGTCCATTATTTTGGAAACTCAACATTGTAACACTCCAGTGTACTGTTTTATTTCTCACAAATGGGAGTCTTCCGCGACTAGAACCCGTGAGCCCAAAGATAAATAATTACTATTCGCATAAGTAGCTACCATTAAGCCATGACTACATGAGTTCTTTAAGCTATTGGATGACATGCTCAATATATTCATAAACTCATGGTGCATATTATAATTGGGGTGTTACAAACATAACTATAATTTAAATGGAATTGATGACTTTTAAGTCACTGCCACTTTGAGAAGTTAGTCGGTTAGATGAAAATTGAATGACTTATATTCCAATTTGTGTTTTGATTTAATTTGTTAATATAAAAACTAATTGATCCAATTTTCATTCAAATCATCAACAAATCTCTCAATCAAATTCCAATTTTAAACTATACTATTTATTAGGATTTTGGAGGGAAATGAAACATTTAATTGCCATAAAATATATATGTCAGAATTCTGAAACATTTATTTTCCTTTCGACCAAAATCTAACTTGTAAATAGACACTTAGGATCCCTTGATAACTAAGTTGTTAAAACGCTAAGAGGGCATTCTCTTTTGGAAGATCACCAAGAATACACATAAACTAACCATAAATACATATATTATACCAAGTAAAGCTCAAAAGGAAGAAAGAAAGTAAGCCTACATAGCTAGCTTTGTAATTTCCTTCTGTTTCTTAATCTCCCTTTACCTTTTAAGAGAACTCTTTACGGGTACAAAGTACGCTGTCCAACTTTACATGCATGCATGAAAACAAGTTGTTGTTTAAGTAATATTATAAACAAGTTGTTGTTTAAGTAATTTTGGTCGATTTTAACTGGTTTTGGTCGGTTTTGACCGATATGATTGCATGACTGGTATAATTGTTGTATCATATCTGTATTGAGTCTGATTTACCGTTTTACTGGTTGAACCGACCAGCATGAACCGATTTTCATAGCAATGATAATTTTTATTTAATTTGTTTTGCTTATACAAGCTTAATGTTTACATAACAGCATATACTCAATATTTTAAAAGGTGACATTAAGATTCAATAAATTGAGACATTATTCTCATTCGGCAGGCTTATTTATATAAGAAAGATAAGGCATCTATCTTTATGAATTTGGCATTATATCACCTATACATTATAGGGTGAGAACTGTGGTGGGTCAATTCAAAAGTAGAGGATGAGAGTGCTTATGCTTCTTTCAAGTTAATTTTACAACAATAATAACCACACTTATTGATGTTTTCAGAGAATCCTAATCCTCCTTTTTAATTAGTCATATAGCTTATCTATAATAGCCATATAAAATAACCATGTGATGTAATTTGCCACTATATAAATACTTGCAACTCCATCATGCTACCTATATTATAACCAAGGTACACAATTTAGCTTAGAGACTCAAATACCCTTTAACCAACTAAAAGGGGTTGTGCGGTCAAATAGACAACACACAGAAGTGTTGTAAAATAAGCGCGGTTGCTCGAAGTATCTGACTTAGTGATATCTCATAATCACAATGGGATCAAAGAGATCATCATTTTTCAGCTTATTGAAGGCATGTTTCTCAAGTGGAAGTAGATATGAGGAAGGAAGTGGAAATAGAAGAAGAATATTTGCAAGTGATGAAGATAGAGGATATTGGATTGCAGAACCTGATATTGATATGAAAGCTTCTGATTTTATTGCTAGATACTATGCTACTAGAGTCACTGATTCTGAACACCAATTTGTTTCTTGAAATTTAGTGCACTTCTTCATTGCTTAGTATTCTTCCTAATATCCCTTATTAATATTATTTATCTCTTTTATTCAGAACACTTGTACTTAGTTCATATCTCACTCCATTCTCAATAAATGAAGTTTTAATTCATATATTCAAGGTATAAAATTTCTTTGCCCACAAAACTATGTCACTCTTGTGGGAAATTTTTTATAGTACACCCTACCTATTCATTATCTAAAATATATTATTAATGTACAACTTTCTTAATGACAACTTCTAACACAAGATAAAAGTACAACTTTCTTAATGTACAACTTCTCACACAAGATAAAAGTACATCATATCCATTCATTACCTAAAATATATTATTTAATAACATATAATAATAATAAAAATGTCCCCCACAATAAAGACACATCATTTTTTACAACCCCTCACATAGGATAAAAATATATACCTACTAATTTTTCATTACCCAATATATTATTTAATAAGATATAATAATAATAATTTAATCCTCCAAAGCTCTAGAATGTGTTTTTGTGTCATCTTTCACAATTCATAAACACGTGATCTCTTTTCATATCACACCACCACTTAGGGATGAAGAAGAGTGAGAGAAGAAGGATGATGAAGAGGAAGAGACATAAGTGTGGCAAAATCATTATCTTTGAGGTTAGGTTGATGAATGTTGACACTATTCTTTAGACCCGTGTTCCTTTTTTTCCTTAACCGAGTCTCTTTCAAAATGTTATCTTTTACTTTGTATAAGGAATTTAATTAATATTGGTCATTGGAATTGAATAGTTTTATTGATGGAAATATAATCATTTTATAAAATTGTTCTTGAATTAGTAATATGAGTAACATGAGTGTTTTTAACAATGTGAATATACAAGTAATGTGTGTTTTAACTATGCGAATGTATAAGTAACATGTGTCTTCTTAGCAATGCGAATGTACGAGTAGCATATATGTTTTTAACCATTAAAATATACGGTCACATGTTTGTTCTTAACAATATGAATCCACATGTAAAATGTGTATTTTTAACCATTTGAATGCATGGTTTAAAAGACATATGTTTTTACGAGTAATGCGAATGTACGAGTAATATATATATATATATATATATATATATATATATATATATATATATATATATATATATGCAACATGTACGAGTAATATCTGTGTTTTTAACCATTAAAATGTATGGATCTATTGGATTTTTTTTGTAAAATATACTTCATTGATTGTATTACTTTCTTAACACAACAAAGCTAAGATGATTGAGATTTATACAAGAGAGTTCTAACTACTTACCAGCAAAGGAAAGACAGTTAAATTAGTTACAAACGGTGAACACCCAAATTTGTCCAGCTTATTTACGAAATAAATAAAAATATAAAAAAAATCAAGGTACAAAAGGACACATCTTGTATTTTTGAATTTGAAGAAAATCATAATAATCTACATGGTGTATACTTCTTAAGGGTTAATTTCTTTTTCTAAACTTATATATGATTAAATTATCCCATGCTAGGCATAAATCATGGTGTGATCACTCGTTTTGCATTGAGTTACTTACAAGCCACCTGTAACCTTTTTTTTTTGTGCACGAATAATGCTAAGGATAATATGTGTGGTGGTGTTTTACAAAGGCCTAAGTCAAGTTTGATTTTATGGAATAAATGCCACCTTTGTGTAAGATAATCCTTGTTTTCCATCTTTATAACTCATTTAAACCCATAACTGTATCAAGTCCACCAAGGAAGAAATAACTATTAATTATGCATAAGCAAACATGACAATAAAAAAGTGCATTATTGTTTCCGTTACATATTCAACTTAAGTGACAATTATTCCCAATCAATCATGTAATAAACACTGACGGGCAAAGAAAGGGTTCCTCGTGAACAAATATAAAAGAAGGCACAAAATGACCAAAAAGGAGAGAGACACTATTACACGTGAACAACAGCATAGAGATGGTTAATATTATGTGAGTGCTTCATGAAAGGTCTTTCCCATCTCCTTCATTCATCTTCCCATCCATCAAACACCTAGTCTTGTTTATATACTCTCACCAAGTTCAATCCAAGATTAACCCACACATATCACTTAGAAATCAGATAAAGAACTCAGATATCACATAGAATTTCCACAATCACTACAACAAGAGAAGGGTAATAATCAGCCACCACAACAAATTCTACAACCAGAGTCAAAGACCAATATAGAACAACAACAAGATCAATAGACAATAAGGGATAAATAGAATCTGAATAGAAGAGGAATCGGGTTCCAAACGTGGGACTTCAGAATCATCTCCTTGAACGACACGATCCTTTAAACTGTTCTCAGCGCCGGCTCGTCACCGTGATTTCAAGGTTGCCATGAACGGAGCTGTAGCCGCCATCCTTCATCTTCTCACCCTAAAGGAAATAACAAGGTGAGAAAAAAGAGGAGACAATCTCATGCCGCGAACCAGTTACAACATCGCTGCCGCCGCTGCTACCATGGCCAATCCCGCCGGAGACGAAGGAGAAGAGAAGGGAGGGTTTAGGGATCCTATCCCCTATTTTATTTTCTGGTTTACGTGAATGGGGTAAGGTTACCCCTTCCTAATTCAATATCTCTCTTTTTTTGTGTTATTTAATTCTTTAGTTTTGTTTTATATTTAATTGCTTTATTATTCTAATAGTATTTATTTTGACAAAGTAAAATAGAGTGAAAGCTAATTAACATATTTGATATCCTATAACTATTAGATAATAATTGTATATATCAACTTAAATTCCATTAACATTTATTTTTTTAAAATATATCCTTTAAATGTGATAACTTAAACATTTTCAAATGAAATTCAACATTCTAGTTAATGGCTAGTATCGTACCTGACTCTTCACTTCGAGCCGAGAATCGGTTGCGGTCACTTGTACTGCTTCTGCTATTTATCGAAGCGAGAAGATGGTTAACGATCAATATCGACTCTTCACTATTTAATTCTCTCTTTAAAAAAAATCTTTAAGTTATTTAAAAAATGTTTCAATAATTATCTAAAAATGTTTTAATTATTTTTGGGATTTAATAGCGAGGTTACAACTCGTATTGTATCTTTCTCCTCGCTTCGAGCCAAGAACCGGTCGCGGTCACTTGTACTGTTTCTGCTATCTATCGAAGTGAGAAGAGGGTAAGCAATCAATGTTGACTATTCGTCTATTAATTCCACTTCGATCAATTTCAAACAAAATTTCTATAACTTTTAATCAAATGAATTTCTAATCAAACCAACAAACAATTTCCAAACAATTTTCAACCAGAACTACGTAGTCTTGATTTCCCTATTGCACATATGGATACGTAGGAGCAAGATAAACTCTTGTCAAACACAAAAATAAATATTTTGTTTTAAACAAATTTAGTTTTAAATAAATTAAGGGTATTTAATTCATACAATTAGTTAGGGTACCGTTTAATTACGGGCGGACAGGGTGCTAATACCTTCCCCGATTCGTAATCGACCCCCGAACTCACAACTCTACATCGAAAGACCATTTTATTCTAATTTGGACTCAATTCGAGTTTTACATGTTTTAACTGCAAAAGACGTGGTGGCGACTCCTCAAGAGGTCGCGTGACCGAAAATCCGGGCGCGACACAAACTAACTGCTAGAAACTATAAAGAAGTGAAAAACCTATTCTACCCTTATTAATGCAACTCCAACTTATAAACTAATATCTTCAATATCCCCCCTCAAGCTGGGGAGTAGATATTGCAAACACCCAGCTTGGGAAGAAGGTAAGCAAAGGTAGAAGAATCCAAAGCCTTAGTAAACAAATCTGCAGGTTGCTCTTTGGTAGAGATGGGAAGCAAATAAAACAGTTGAGATTGCAATCTTTCCCTAACAACATGACAATCAATCTCAATATGCTTAGTACGTTCATGAAACATGGAATTTGCAGCAATATAACGAGTTGAGTTGTTGTCACAATAGAGAAGATCAGACTTGATGAAAGGAATAGGAAATCCATCATGCATGAAAGTAAGCCACTGAATTTCACAAACATTAGCAGCAAGAACACGATATTCTGCCTCAGTGGATGATCTTGCTATTGTAGTTTGCTTCTTCGTCTTCCATGAGATTAAAGAATCACTAAGAAAAACACAAAATCCAGAAACTGACTTCCTTGAGTCTGGACAAGTAGCCCAATCTGAATCACTAAAAGCTTTGAGTTATAGATGAGAATCAGATGAGTAAAACAGACCTTGACCAGAAGCTCTTTTAATGTACCTGAGTATACGAGTTAATGCTTGATAATGAGCTTGAGTTGGTTGACTCATAAATTGACTTAACTGTTGAATGGAAAAGCTGAGATCTGGCCTGGTGTTTGTGAGATAAAGCAGCCTCCCCACAAGTCTTCGATAATCACCAGGATCTCCATATGGTGCAGAGGAATCATGAGAAAGAATGGTTCCTTTTGCAATGGGTGTGAGTGAGGCTTAGAAGCCAATAAGCCAGTGTCAGATAGAATGTCCAAAGCATACTTTCTTTGAGTCAAAGTAATTCCTTGTGTTGATCTTGCAACTTCAAGCCCAAGGAAATACTTTAGAGGTCCAAGATCTTTGATTCTGAATGTATCATGAAGATGTTGCTTCACATATTTTATTTCATGCATATTGTTGCCTGCTAATATCAAATCATCAACATAGATTAGGAGAATAGTCAATTGATGGTCATCTGTCTTGGTAAACAATGAGTGATCATAAGCAGATTGAATATAGCCAATGTTAGTGAGAGTAGTGGAGAGCTTTTTGTACCATTCCCTACTTCTTGCTTTAAACCATAAAGTGAATTGTGAAGCTTGCAATCTTGATCAGGCTTTGTACAAACAACACCTTGTGGAATAGTCATGTACACATTTTCTATCAAATCTCCATGTAGGAAAGCATTATTGAATCTAATTGATGCAAAATCCAGTTCCTAGAAGCTGCAATGGCCAAAACTAATCTCACTGTTGTTAATTTTATGACAGGAGCAAAGGTGTCAAAGAAATCAACACCCTCAACTTGATCATACCCTTTAGCAACCAATCTAGCTTTAAATCTCTCAATACTGCCATCTGACTTATACTTGATCCTATATACCCATTTAGAACCAATAGGAACTTTATCATGCAGCAAATCAACAATGCTCCAAGTATTATTCATCTCCATAGTAGTAAGTTCATGCTGGATAGCATCAATTCATTCAGAAGATTGTATGGCTTGTTTGTAGGATTTTGATTCAGTGTGAGTAGATATAGAAAGAATATGTGATAGATGATGAGATGAGATAGAAGAATATGATAAGACAGAGGACAGAGGATGTGTAATATGAGGAACATTGGTGTTGGTTTGTGTAAATATGTTGCAATGAAAGTCATGTAGGTATGTAGGTGGATATCTTAGTCTAGTGGAATGTCTAAGGCCTTGTGTTTGAGTGGGAGATGTTTCTGTGATATGAGAGTTAGTGTTTGAGTTACTGTTAGGAGTAGTGTTTGGGTATATTGTGTTTGAGTCAAGGTTATTGTGAGAAGGTTTTGGAAGATTGTTGGCATGAGGTGATGAAATATGGTCAGAATCATAGAGAAGAAAATCAAGATCAGATTGTGAATCATTATGAGATGAACTTATTGTGGGAGCTTGATAAGGAAATTGTGCTTCATGAAATTGAACATTTCTTGAGATGAAAACTTCTTTAAAATGAAGATCAAACAACACAAAACCTATGACTCATGTTTTGAAGCCTAAGAAAATGCACTTCCTTGCTCTTGCTTCCAACTTGGTTCTATGAGCAGATAATGTGGATGCAAAACACAAACAACCAAACACCTTAAGTTCATTCAAATCAGGCTTACACTTATAAAACAACTCATAAGGTGATCTTTGTTGAAGAGTAGCGCTTGGAATTTTGTTTATAAGAAAAGTAGCATGTTGAACTGCAAAAGACCAAAACACATCAGGCAAGTGAGCATGAAATAAGTATTGACCTTGTAACATTCAGAAGATGCCTATGTTTCCTTTCTACAACTAAATTTTGCTGTGGAGTTTCAACACATGAGGTTTGGTGAACAATTCCATATTTTTCAAAAAAAGAAGGCAACTGAAACTCAACTCCATTATATGTTCTAATGATCTTGATGACTTTATTAAACTGAGTTTGAGCAAAGACAACAAAATTTTGCATTAAATTCCTTGCCTCAGATTTTGCTTTCATAAGGTATACCCATGTGAGCTTACTGTAATCATCAATTCGGTTAGAAAGTACTTGAAACCATGAACGAAAGAAATAGACAATGGACCCCAAATATCCATGTGCACAATATCAAAATACTCCATACTTTTATTCATACTAGTAGGAAAAGGCAATATTGCTTGTTTTCCAAAATGACAGAATTCACAAACAGTTTTGGAATCAAAATGCACATATGGAAAATCTTTACAAATGTGTTGTAATACATCAATTGGAGGATGTCCTAATCTGTAATGCCACAAGTCAAAAGAAGAAAAATTACAAACAGAATGAGTAAGCAAAGTCTTCTTTATGCAAGGCCTTGAAGGTGAGACAAGAATGTAAAGATCTTTGTCCACTTTAGCATATCCAATCATCTTCAAGGTACTCATATCCTGAATCACACACTGAGAACTATAAAAAATAACTCTGCAATGCAAGTCATGTGCAATGTAACACCCCAAATTTTAATCTTTAAAAATATAGTATCAGTCCTGGAAGCCTCGCTTGATCGAGAGATTCTCGCCTGAGCGAAAAAGGATCAGCTGGGAGGGTGAAATCCTGGACGAGGATTCTCGCGTGGGCGGGAAATGGCAATTTTGGGCTGTTGACACAGTGTAATCGATTACACTCTGCTGGTAATCGATTACACTCTGCTGGTAATCGATTACACTCTGCTGGTAATCGATTACACTCTTCTGGTAATCGATTACATCGTATTAAAAGCATCAGATATGTGCATCTGACACAGTGTAATCGATTACACATTTCTGGTAATCGATTACACATTGCTGGTAATCGATTACATCGTATTAAAAGCATCAGATATGTGCATCTGACACAGTGTAATCGATTACACATTTCTGGTAATCGATTACACATTTCTGGTAATCGATTACACATTTCTGGTAATCGATTACACATTTCTGGTAATCGATTACACATTTCTAGTAATCGATTACACATTGCTGGTAATCGATTACACACTCCTGGTAATCGATTACACACTCTTGGTAATCGATTACACACTCCTGGTAATCGATTACACACTCCTGGTAATCGATTACATCGTATTAAAAGCATCAGATATGCGTATTTTTCACGTTGTAATCGATTACACCATGTTGGTAATCGATTACAACCCGACGACACCTCTTTAAAACAGAAACCCAAACAAATTTTAGGGTGAGAACTTCGAAGAGAAGAGAGAGAGGAGAGCTTTTCAAGAGCAAGGAGCCTTAGGACTCATCTTAGAGCTTGAGAAGAGGTAAACCTCTTGTTCCTAGCTCTTCTT